AAATTATTTCCCCCCCAGGCGCTTGTGGGGCGGGCGGCGGGGAGAAGAGCGCTTCTCCCCGCCGCCCGCCTTCACATCAGGTCCGGGGACAGCGGGAAGACGCGCTGCGTCTCCCTGCTGTCCCCGGAGCTGGGGGCAGGCAGCGGGAGAGCGCTGCTCTCCCCGCCGCCCGCCTTGATATCAAGTCCGGGGACAGCGGGAAGACGCGCTGCGTCTCCCTGCTGTCCCCGGAGCTTGGGGCAGGCAGCGGGAGAGCGCTGCTCTCCCCGCCGCCCGCCTTGATATCAAGTCCGGGGACAGCGGGAAGACGCGCTGCGTCTCCCTGCTGTCCCCGGAGCTTGGGGGCAGGCAGCGGGGAAGCGGTGCTCTCCCCGCCGCCCGCCGTGTGATAAAGTCCGGGGGCAGCGGGATGACGCGATGCGTCTCCCTGCTGTCCCCGGAGCTTGGGGGCAGGCAGTGGGAGAAGCGCTCTTCTCCCCGCCGCCCGCCTTCACATCAGGTCCGGGGACAGCGGGAAGACGCGCTGCGTCTCCCTGCTGTCCCCGGAGCTTGGGGGCAGGCAGCGGGGAGAAGCGCTGCTCTCCCCGCCGCCCGCCTTCACATCAGGTCCGGGGACAGCAGGAAGACGCGCTGCGTCTCCCAGCTGTCCCCGGAGCTTGCGGGGCCGGCGGCGGGGTCTCCCCGCCGTCAGCCTCCAAACCACTTCGGGAGACAGCGGGATGGCGGCGTTCCGCCTCCCTCTGTCCCCCGACCTTGTGGGGCCGGCGCTGGGGCTCTCCTGAAGCCTGGAGAGCGAGAGGGTCGGTGCGCACCGACCCTCTCGCTCTCCAGGCTTCAGTGAAAGCCAGCATTCGCACCATAGGACGCACACACATTTCCCCTTCATTTTTGGAGGGGAAAAAGTGCGTCCTATAGTGCGAAAAAATACGGTAAGTAGAATTCTGCTAGGTACCTTTTTAAAAAAAAAAAAAATCCTTTTTACCTGTGATACACATATTTGTTCCTAATTAGTATTTAATGTATTCTTTTCTCCTTATATGTTTAAAGTGACCTCAGTATGTCATACAGAAGCTGCTTTCTGTCGGGATTTAAGCTTGGGGAAGAATTTTTTTACAAACTTATTTAAAGGAGAAAATGTTCATAGTTTTGCAATAACTGAAAGTTCTTTTAAATTGCTTTAGGAATAAACCTGCACATTTTCAAGAAAATTACAAGAAATTAGCATGTGGGGTCCACAAAATGTTTTGAGGTTAAAAAGGGTTTCTAATACTCATTAAGGTTGGAAGCCACCACCATAGCTTGTATAAATTTGTGAAAATGAAAGCTGAGAATGCTTTACTGCAGATGCCTTGGATGTAATTTAGTAGCGGAAGAATAAATAATTTTTAGTGTTTTGTATACTACTTTATGAATGCTCAAAGCATGCCGCATACATTCCCATTAACACTTAAAATAATCATGCAAACCAGGCCTCCAGCTGTATTTGGGATACCTTCATAGTTTAAGCATCTTTGCCCATAACAGAATGATATTCTGAATAGTTTTTGATCTTGTAAGGTTTAATCCTTATACAGTGGTACCTCAGATTAAGTACTTAATTCGTTCTGGAGGTCCGTTCTTAACCTGAAACTGTTCTTAACCTGAAGCACCACTTTAGCTAATGGGGCCTCCCACTGCCGCTGCCCCACCGGAGCACGATTTCTGTTCTCATCCTGAAGCAAAGATCTTAACCCGAGGTAATATTTCTGGCTTAGTGGAGTCTGTAACCTGAAGCCTATGTAACCCAAGGTACCACTGTACTGTACAGATTTTAGCAGTTTGTTTCTATATGCAAGTTTTCACAGGATGTATCCTTGAGGTAATGTTTTCTATAGAAATATCAGCTGGAATCCTATCATTTGATTAAATGAAAGGCAGATATCTCAGGAGGTTATCTGTATCGTGTGAAGTTGACTGTTTTTGTTGTCTAAGGGTACAGCAGCATGCATAAACTTTTTTTGTGATACCTACTTCAACGTTCTGTTTATGTTTTAACTCTTTAATGATACAGTATTTCCACATATATTCAAATATGAGAATTTTTATTTCGATTGCTATTATAGATGAAATAGTTGCCTTCATTAATGATACTGTCGAAACACCAGTTTGTATAGCTCTCTTGCGTGTAGTAAGGCAGGTTGAGGTTAAGAGTGTAGTTAGCTTCTTAATGTCATCTGATGATGTTTGATCCAACGTCTTCCTGGTTGACAGCTGATACTTATCTACCTTGCATATTATACAGATGTATTGGTATCATACCATGCTATGGATTCTCCCCCACATCTAACATCAGTAAGTAAGTAATTTAGTTTTTAAAGTCTTGTTTGGAAGTACATGAAGCATCCTAACTATCCAACAATGGGGATATCTTCTGTCAGAATGTTTTTCATCCTGCTACTGTAACTGTTTTACAATATATAGCCATGAACAGTGATTGCATAGGAAGTGTTTTAATAAGACAATGATTGAGGCCGCCTTCACATACAGTATTATGTATATTAGCAGGTGCACATTGCATATTTCTAATGTTTCCACAACATACAGGAGACTTAGCTTTTTAACAACATAGAAGTTATGTGCCTATACTGTGGGGAGCCACAGTTGGTCTTGGTCCTCCACAATGGAGACATGGAGTCAAAAAATAATCAGTATGACTCGCATATAATGAAAATCTTTGTGAAGCACATTCAGTATGTAGGTAAATACCTAATTTCAATAGCACATTCCATAATCTTGATGGAAGACTTCTGTATTTTAGATGTATATGGGGGAAGATGTTACATAAAGGTTGTTGGTTTATGCCTTTGGTTTTGTGACTTCAAATTTGAAATTTCCTCCCACGTTTTGTAGTTTGTGTTTTAAGAGACTCATTAGTGTCATAAAAATCTGGTCATTTATCTAATTATGGCAAGTGTTTTTATAGGGCCACAGGGCCAGTTGTTTGTTTTTTATTGGATACCTCAAAGAATTTGTGCTCTTGTTAGAACTGGGCTGGGACATGGTGGAGTGCTAATTAATAGGTGGGTATTGGAGGGGGAAAGCTGTAAGATGGAGTCTTAATTTATTTTTAAGGTTGATGCTTTCTCAAAGTGAGGATAGAGTGGATTTAAGCTGACTGACAAGCATTTAAGTGGTTTGGGGGGTGTTGGGTTCCTCAACCTGTTTACAGTAGAGCTTTGTATATAAAGTGGCTTATTAAAGCAGAAATCTGAATGATAAGCCTTCTGTAACCTTTTGTTTTGGAGCCAGCAGTTAGATCGCAGAGCACAATATCGGTTCAAGCTGTGACATACAATCAGGAAAATGAATGAAAGGGAGCTGGAACCACCAGGCTCTGAGATGAAAGACAATGCATAGTCCTATCTTTAGTTCTTTAAGATGGGAAAGATTGCCTTTTTAAATTTTCATTCTTATTGCATAATCCGGTCCCCAAGTTGATCTGGTGTGTAAAACAGTTCAGAGGACTGGAGGAGAGGAGGACAACTCAGAATCTGATGCTTGCTGAGAAAACAGTCCATAAAATGTAACATTATACAGGTATCTGCAAATATGGTTAGATAAGCAACATATTCTGTTGGAGTTATTTCATATATAAAAACAATTTCAAATCGACTATATAATTTTACTGCTAAATTTCTTTGAGATGTTTCTTAGGAAGCAATTCATAAATGAAATAATGAATAAATAAATATGTTGGCGCAGAGTGAATGAATGACTGTTGCTTTAATGTCAACATGAGTTCACCCAACTAGTGTATCCCTGACTGTGGTACCTAGTGAGAGACTGGGGAGAATCAATGGGGCATGCAGAATTGAAAAACTTGGAGGTGAAGGCATCCTTTCCCAATGGACAGCCAGACACAGATAATTGCTTCATTTGGACACAATAAATCATTACTTAGCACCACAGGAATCAGCCTGAACAAAGCACAGGCTCCCATGTTTTTCCTTATGTGGAAGAGAACAGAAACATTAGCTTCTTGTTTGAAGCTAACTGTGGTTTACCATTATGACTGAATGGTGAACCGCAGCTAGCTTTATGTTTCTTTCAGGTGAAGCCATGATTGTAGGCTGAGTTTGAAGTTGATCCTGTTTTGCGTTCAAATGAGAATGTTGTCTGTTGCAACTGCTATCCGTTATTCTGCATTCTCTCTATCTTTCTGTGGACAGCGATCCTCCAAACACAGAGACAAGGATGTTCCCCAATACTGTGCCACACAGATCAAAAACAAGGCTAGCAGCAGTGACCAGTGGGAGTCCAGCTGTTTTTCATAAGTTGCCATCATTTCCACAGCTTGTACTGGGTACCTGCACATTTTGGAAATTATTTGACAGGTGGTGATGTAACAGGTGCATCTGTACTTGGCAGAGAGATGTTGTGCCTGGTAATTTTCTGTCTCAGGTGGAGTTTAAAGGACCAAGTGTTCCACAAATAATAATAAAAAGGGCAACCCCCATGTCTCTGTGATGCTATCAGAATTTGCTCCATAGCTAATCCTGTGTGTCTATTCTGATATTGGCTGCCAGATAGTCCTCCCCATGTAACTCACCTCACCAGTCTTCATAATGGAGGGGGCAGTGAGTTCTCCCCCCCCCACTACCTAGTTACTGCTGGTGTTAGAAACAAAGCAGTTGAGTGGGATATATGGGGCAAGGCAATCCCACAAGTAAACTGTCCTAAGCGCTTTATATAGCAACAACAACACATTGAACTTCGCTTGGTAATATGTTGGCAACCAGTGCAGATCTCTGAGTAGAGCAACCATGTCATGCTTCATCATTCTGCACTGATTTTTCCATGATGATTTCTTATATATTGTAAAGTAAGACTTGGTTTTATATAAATGAAAAGATGAGTAATTAGAAATGTGTGCTTATATTAAAGAGAGTGTCTTCATTTTACAATTGAACCAATTTGACAATGATGCAATTTATACAACTGAAGCAGTGTCAGATATGAAGTACAATAAAAAAGAAGCTGAAATAATTCTAAAATTGCCAAGTATGAATATATCATAAGATTCATACTTGGCAGTTTTAGAATTATTTCAGCTTCTTTTTTATTGTACTTCATATAAGTGGTGAGAGTTCATGTTAATATTTAATAATGTAGGTTGGTTGTTATGTAAAGAAATTGTCTTTCTTTTAGCTGAGTATAGTGCTAAGAGTTGTGTAGCTCCATTGATTGGTTCCATGCAGGCGAAACCTGACCTTTAGCAGATGTTTGAAAAACTGCCAGTACTCGGTGTGATCAGTAGGCTAGACAGTTTTTTTCCCTCTCATGCTGGCAGAAAACCTACATTGTCTTAGTAACACAGCATTGCAATTTTAGCAGGTTTTTTTTCCTTTTCTAAGTGTTTCTAATTGTTGAAAAGAGTTTCCAAACAGGTACTTCTAAAAGTTGTAAGATAGATAGATGTCTACAGGTTTGTGTGAACGTATTTTAAGTATTAAGCATCTAAAAACATTTTCAATTGCTGTGCTAACATCTCTGTCATATGTACCTTCTTAGCACAAGTTGTGAAATAAGTACATTTTGCAGCAACAAGGAAGTGAACTTCTGTTGCTTGAATTTGTTATTGCCTTTGACAATTATGTAATTCTGGTGTCTCATACTTTTCTGTGGGCATGTGTGTATGAAATGCTTTTTTTCCTTACAAATCAAAACACAGCCCATCTGGAGCTATTGGCTAAGAACTGGATGTTGTATGACTCTCTGTGAAGGCAGCTTTTCTAGCAGTATTTAAGAGGACGATGCAGCTGCTTAGCTGTAGGAGTTTAAGAAAACAGAGCCTGTATTGTTCATTTTAAACTCTACTAGTTAGGCTTCAGGAAAATGTGAGTTATCTGATGAATACTTTGACAATACCACCAGCTCCAAGGCTGGATCTTTTCCTGCAGGTGCTAATATTCCTAAGAGCTTTATAAATGCTTTTGAGTGCATAGAATTTGGGGTTTTTGAAAAGATGGAATTACAATAACCTTGTTTCAGTCTGAGATGTACAGTGGGAGATATCCATGGTTAGTCATCCTCTGACTAGACCCATCAGAACCAATGGCCTTAAACAATTTAAATGAGTCTACTCAGAGTATGACTAACATTGCAAATGGTCCAATATGTATAAAACCTTATACTGCTCTTTTCTTTTCTTTTCTTTTTTTTACTATTGGAAACAAAGACCTCTTAAGTAAATCAGAATGAGGGGCAGATGGTAGGGAAAGTGTCTTGTAATTGTAGTGCTAATGTGAATTGTGGAACCTTTTCTTAAACTGACCACAAAGCTAGGATCTGCTCCTCATTACTGTTTCCTGACATTAAACTTCAAAGGAAAATCCATTTGGCCACTCTTCTTCTATCTGCATACACCTATCTGCATCTTGCTGCAACAAATCTGGCCTATATAGGGTTGCTGTGACACAATTCGTAAGTTACCCTTAAATTTTAAGGCTCTCTAAGCATGGTTATATAAACCTTTATTTATAACCACAGGGGTAGCTTATCACTGAAGGAGCACAAAAACTTACTTTGCAAAAAAAAGATGAGGAACACAATTCTTCAGAAATAAAGAACTCAATTTGAAACATATAGGAATTTCATTTTCCAGACATTGCTAAATTTTGTCGATTTTGTTGCCTCCAACTAGTGAGGTGTTGTAGATTAGAGCTAGAAAACAAATAAAGCATAATTCTGAATTGTTCCCAAACTTGGTTATTACTTAAATACTTTCACACAGGTACAAATTAGAATATGTATTTAAATAATTTTTATCCTACTCTTCAGCCAAAAAAGGCTCCAAGCAGCCATACAGATCACTTAAAAAGACAGTTACTGCCCCCAGGATTATAACTTGAAAATACATGACATAAAAGGAAAATGAATTTGGAGGAAGAAGTAATCAAATGAATGTTGTTGTGTTTTTTTAAATGGAACACAGAATCAAAAACAAAAGCTCACCAGACAGAAGTCACCAGAATAGTGGTTGAAAAATACTGACCCAGGCTAGTGTCGTGAAGGACCACATCAGCAGCTCAGGACTTATCATTCTGATGATTTTGCTTAGGAGCAGTCTAAAATCAAAGAAATAAAATATTATGGTCTTGCTGTTAAAGTATGTGTAACATTGCAATAATGTTTCTCCAACTACTTTATTTCCCCAGGTATATGTGGAATTTGATGACCTTGAATGGGAAAAACGAGAATGGGTTAAAGTTTATGAAGATTTTGCAGCCTTCTTGGTGGAGTACCAGCTGGTCTGGGCAAAGAGAAAGGATCCTAGCCAGACTCAGGGATCAAAGACCAAGCATATTCAGTGGCCTGCACTGGTAAGATATTGAAATTCTTTTTAACAGTGGTGCAAAGGATACAAACTGCTCTGGGCCCCACTTCTCTGCCTCCCTCAACCTATTGGTTCATATTGCCTTTTCCAGCAGGGTTAGGGAAATGACGTTAACGTGCATATACAGTATTGCTCAGTTATTCCATTGAGGCCGATGGCTACCTTGTTATCATCATGGAGTCTCAATGTTTAGCCCTTGTGTTAGTTTAACAGAAAGCAATAGAAACATTTCAGAATATTAAGTTCAGGGTTTAAAAAATAATCAAAATATACACCAATCAAGTTTTAGACAGCAACATTGAGGCCTAGAAGTTCTTTGGCCGCTGCAAGTTCTGTTGTCGACTCCTTGCTAGCTAGCCAGAGGGAGGAGACCACTAGGGAGCAGCCCATACTCAGTACACAGAGGCTTGACTCTCTGGGCAAAGTCTGTTCCCTTCCCTGTTTTCTCTTTCCTGAAAGGAACACTTTTTAAAATCCATACTTTATCTGTTAGAGGGTGAGTGGGTACTTAGAGGGTGAGGTGGAGGAATATTTTTGGGGTTTTTTAGTCTTTTAAAATCAAAACAGCTGTTTCTAGATATTGGAAGAGAGCTATATTAGCCAATTCCTGTCAGCCTCTTTTGGGGGCCTATTTTCTAGGTTGTTCTTCCTTAGGTGCTGGAAGGTTGGTTGAGGTTGGAAGGTTGGTTGGAGAGAGAATAAAAATAAGATTGAAGGGCCTGTATGGGAAAAGGCTTTGACTTTGCTTCCTTTGTTTGTGTGGATCTTCCTCATTTATTCCATAGTCACTTGTTTCCATTTGAAATCTCATGGCTGTGTTACTGTTACAGGAATATTGCAGTGTAGTTCTAGTGTTTCTGAATGGAGGGTGGTTAAAATTAGTAGGTGATGCCTTAGTTATAATTTTGAGGCAATGAAATGAAAAACATTTGCGTATTTAGTAAGCTGTAAGCACCCCACCTCCAGATTTACATGCTTAATTCCTTTACCAAATACATAACTATACAGTCTATGTTTGGCTTACGGCTTCTTGATTCAACATTTTATGATGTTATGTATTCTCATGTTATTTATTTTGTGAGTTGTTGTGTAGGCTGTTATGATGTGCCTGAGTTGTTAACTCGGCACATATTTCTTGTTCTTGTTTTGTGCTTATAGAACATTGTACTAGTCTTGAAAGGGAGTCTCAACATTGTCTCTTGGGAGCAGGGTCTTCCTGTCCACCTCCTTGAGTTTCCACCCTGATTCCATTTTTGTTCCATACCATTTACAGAGCCCAACACAAATCTCAGGATTGCACTATTTCACACAGAGACCCCCTTGAACTACATCAGATTCTTTGTTTTTCAGATTTCAGATTTTTAGATCTTTACTTAGAAGCTATATGACTATACACTCCTTGTCTCTTTCCTTGTGCAGTTGGCTTCAGTGAAGCTTTTCTGGTTTATTAAACCAGTATCCTGTGGTGTCTAAACCAGTAGGATGTGTTTTAAGGCTCCCAAAAAACAGAATATAAAACCAGGATCTTATTATGGCTTGTAGGGAGCTCTTACCAGTTTTGAAATGATGGGAAACAATGTTTTGGGAAACCAGGAAAGTTTTGCTTGATGCCATGCCCACAAGGGGAGGGTGGGTGCAGGCACACATTCATTTCTGTATGAGCTGGATCACCATAATATAATTTTAGCATGTTTCCGCCCAACTGGTGGGCCAGTAGGTTCACCATTTTTAGTTAATGCAGAGGAATGACTTAATGTCTTGCAAATGTTTTACAGATTTCTTATTTTTGGTGGACTGCAGGAGCATTTCTATTTAAACAATTTAATTTCTTCACAAGAAAGATCACTTGTTACCTGTTTTACACACTGAAGTGGAATGGCAACTGAATTGTGATTTGGAATCTCTAGTAAAGCTTATATAAAAGTCTTAAAGCTCTTAGAAGATCATTTCTGAGACTATAAGATCTTTATGGCTAGTACAACAAGCATAACCAATGCATGTGGGATGACTGGCCAAGCTGCAGCCCTTTCAGGGCCTTTGGTTGATTTAATGTATTCCCTCCTGAATTTCTGTGCACTTTGTTCTTTGCTGCTTGGGACCTCCAGTTTGAGTTTTCTTGGGTATCATTGAACAGTTTGGGTAAGAAAGATAAGCAATATATCTGGGATAGAATTAAGGTGTATATTAAGGGACAAAGAGTAGGAATTGCTGCTGTGAAGAGGCTTGCTTGCAGGGATGGGGAGTCAGTGAGGAAGTGGAAGAACGGTAGCCATGGTGAGGACAAGGGGACTGTGTCTTTCACACATTGAGATGTTTATTTGTGGTTTAGAAACTATGTATTCCTAATACAGAATGTTAATTCTATCTTGCAATATTAAAATATTGTCTTCATAGCTGTAGATTGGAAGCATTCATATTCAGAATCAGAAAGGCAACAGGTGCCTGCAGGTATGTGTTCTTAGTTTATTGCAGAAAATGTACTACCTGTTGGCAAGGCTAGCAGTTTAGCAGGCACGTGTGATTTCTATAGCAAATGAAAAGACTGGTTTTCATTTGAAGCTTGTAAGCTTCTGTACCGTTCTTGTGAAGAACTTTTAGTTGGTTGAATGACATTTTCAGGACACTGGTTTAATTTATACAGTATTGTGCTGCTAGCTGACATATGCTTACAGAAGGCTTGAGTCTATTGAAAACAATACAGTTCCATTTATGATTGGACTATGTTTTCTCTGCTGCAT